CCAATCATACACTGTGTACTGTAGTTCCCACATTGCATACTTTTGTAAGACATTTTCTCAAAGACTTCCAACCGCTGAGATTTAGTCCATGCGCCGCTTCCCTCAAAACAAGTAAACAAGCACTGCCGGGCCATAAAGGACTCCGCGGTGGTGACTCTGATGTCAAGAAGGCGATTTCCTTCAAACACGCCGGGTTTTATTCTGACATCAACGGAAAAAAACTCCAACCACTCCAGGTATAAATCCGACAAAACAAACATGATTACACGGTCAATAGCTAAAAAGTCCAGGTGGCATATCATGAGCCCTTTAAATCTTTTCATTACAGAGCGACATGACACCGCAGCAAAACAGTAGAAAATTGCTTGACGTTGATTTGTGTGTGAAGGCCGGTGAATGATAGCCACTCTGGGAATAAGGAAAAGCCGCCGGTTGCACACGCGGCACATTGAAGCAGGGACGAAGCTGTGAATATGTCACCGCCTTTGGAACACACGCTGAAGGCAATACTTTAGTTTTTTTTCACACGCATCACTAAGAATACTCACACTGGGTTTTTTTAGAGGTTTTTTTCTTGTCGATGCAGAAGGGTCCAAAGACAGTGGTGATGATCCAGGACACTTCACATTCAATGATAGTTATGGAATTTATCAACATTTATGGATATTGGTCATCCGCTGATTAGGGATCAATGGCTCTATGCGTTTTTTATCATTTCTGTTTGATTCTCTGATCTGTGTCGGAGAAATTGACGGTTTTGTAAAGTCCAAGATAACTACTGTTGTGATTTAGGAAAAATAAATGTCATTGATTTGATTGATAGCAAGGTAATAACATCACTATATCTTACATTTTTTTCTGCTATAGAAGAACCAAATAATGTATTCTACTAAGAAGACAAGACCAACCCTCTAAATCTTAAAACAAAAATAAGAGTGAAGACAAACAGGCAAAACTTTCTCTATATCAGGGGTATCCAACATGCCAGCCCTTAACAAGTAGTTCCCAAAAGGATTTTAGCACTGCATGAATGTGTTACAAAATGTAGTATCCAGATATTGTAAATGCATATTAACTTCATCACCGACTCCCACTGATGTCTGCTGTTGTTGTGTCCTTGGGCAAGACACTTAACCCACTTTTGCCTATAAGGAGCGCGGAAGTGTTGTTCGCTGCTTGCCTTGATGTATATGTGTATGAGTATGCATCAAACTGAAATGTCCCCATTGTGGGACGAATAAAGGACCTTCTTCTTCTTCTATAAAATGTATAAAGTTTTTATAAGGAATAGCTCTGCCATTTTAATTCTGAGAAAATATAGCTCTATGGGAGACCCCTGCTCTAGCTCCAAGTTTAGCTTCCCACACAAAAATGTACAAAGATCTCGCTGGTATCGTTACAGACATAGAGTAGAACTGAGTATTTATTTGTATTCATAATTAAATTGTTATTATAATGATATTGCAATTATTTTGATTTGGTTATTCCGATGATAATGGCTGTGATTATTATTGTCATGTTGATTCTTGTACTTACGACTGTATTACTGTATGATTTATGAGAATATATGCTTATATTACTACGCTGAAAGATGACATATGTCGGCTGCTAATAATTGTGGGAATCCAGAGAAACTAATTATAAATGAAAACTGCAGCCAAATAATGAGAAAATGATTGTAATTAATTACACTGATTGGTTGTGAAAAGAGATAATTGGTTCAAAAGATGAAAACGCAGAACTAAGAAACGTCATAAATGTGTGCTTATTAGCGTATGAGAGGCAGATTTGGAGAAAACCCAACAAAAATTGCCCAACCACAAATTAATGCTAAAATACTTAATTTTCTTGCTGTTATAATTGTTTTCATTTGGATTGCTTTAACCTCCTCTTTGCACTAGACTGTGGAGTCAAACTAGTGGTTTGACTCCACTTCATTAGACAAAGGCCAACCAATGTAGAGGAGCAAACATATATCCTGAGGTTATAACAAAACAGTCCAATGAAGTCTTGGCAGGAAAGTGAAATCATCTCCAAACTTTCTGGACCAAAGAAGTCAAAAGACTGTCGTTCTAATCATAAGGAGCTCTCTGCAGTCCGTACGGGTCAGTCAGTATGTTATAAATGTTTAAGAAGTTCACACACGGCTCTATTCCAGGCTTGTATTTTCACACAGCCACGGGACAAACAGCTTCACGCAGCTAGACGGCACCGCGGTAATGGCAGCACGGCTTGACTTCCAGGTTTAGCCGGGTCAGTCTGCACGAGGCGATTGCTTTCGTCTCGCTGTCCGTTGCCCCACCCCCTTCATTTGCATTTCTTTGCAAGACACGAGGAAAGAATAATGCGTAGTGAAACAATAAAACAGAACATAGATTAAAAAGTTCCGTTGGCTGCCCCTGGACACTCTGGTGAAAAGTACTACACAGTTCGAACACATCTGGTCTAAATCGACTTCAGTGTCTGCTTCTTAAAAATGAATTACACAAAGTTTGATTTTAGCTTGGAATAACAAACTATCTTCTTCGTAAACTTTCTGAATAGTCAATTGCATGGAATCATTAAAGAAAGACATTTCCGTAATTTCCGAACTGGAGGGTTAAAATTGATCTAAGAAGTGTGATGTTTTTTAATATATTGTAAGGCGTCCTCGGGTGTTATGAAAGACGCCATGAAATATAAATGTATTATTATTATTATTATTATTATTATTAAGTAAAATAAAACGTTTTCTAGCTGAATTCCCTTCATCATCACCAATCTCAACCTAGCAATGTCAGAAAACACAGTTCTTCACTTTTAACTGGAAACCCTTCTGTCCCACTGTCATTTGCATTTAATAACACAGACAAAAGTGTTGCTGCAGTCGGCAGTTTTGTTTATTTATGAGTATTTTTTGTGTGCAGAGAGGATATTGAACTTGAGAGCTGTCGTTTTGGTGACAGTTAATTATCTACGCTCTTATCGGCTTTCGAGTCAGATGAAGAAAGTCATAAATTATACGCACCTGTCGACGTGATCTTGTTTGCACCGTCTTCTCACATAAATTGAATTGTCTTGTTATTAAAGAGTGTGACCGAGGTGTTCAGAACGGACTGATCCAGAGAGACAAGCTGTGTTTCAGTTCTCACTTTCAAATATGGATTTAGTTTTTTGGGTTTCTGCAGAAACTGTTTCTCGGATTCTTTGACTCCAGGAGTCTTCTTATGCAGTGGCTTTTGGCTTCCCCTAATGATTTTCCAATACTCTATTTTTGTCTGTATTTAGGTTTCTATAATTTTTTTATATTTTTGGACCCGTGTTGAAATGTGTCGACCCAAGACAACAGTGGGAAAAGGGGGCGTGTTGCCTGATTGTGTCAACAAAAAAACATGACAAAACACACTTCTGAATTTCAATGTAAGTATTTTAATTCAATTAAATTCAATGCATTCTTATCATAACCCTAAATCAAAACAGTAGTTATCTCATAGGACTTAACAAAAAGTTGAAATTGCCAACACAGATCAGAGAACAAACAGTTCAAACACATACTGTAGGCATTGGTCCATAGGGGGAGTGGACCAATATTACCTTTTCAAGGTACTCAAAGCATTTCACATCAATGAACCAATCACCCACTCAGACATTCGTGCATCCGTGTTCACAGACTCTTGGGGGCTGAGTGTCTTGCCCAAGGACACCAAGGGGAGTTGGTTTCACACCTGCTCACCTGAGCTGCTTCTTTTCAAGGAAGAAGCAGCTCATGCATCAGCCCAAACACTGATGGTAAGAGCTTCCCTCTTGTTGTACGGTTCATTATGCAAAGTATTGTCCCATGTGTAGCTTAATTACCAGTATATTTGGTCAGAGTGTTCATCAAACACGCCTTGCAGAAAGTCTACATCACAAGACGGTTTAGTTGCCGATTTGTTGAGACACTCCAGCTCAAGTAAAAGACAACTTTTTGGTTTGGGGCAGTGTTTTTGCTCAGTGGGAATGGGGACATTATCAGAAAATGTCTTTTTCAAGCATTCAAAGTGCAGCTGTTGTTTTAACTGACACCATCAGGTACACACACACACACACACACACACACACACACACACACACACATACACAATATGCCATAAGGCGCCCTTTAGCGCTCCAGCTCACAATAACCAATGCCTTTGCAAAGGTTCCAAATTTGAACGACAAGTGGTGTTTGGAAGCTGCTCTGATCGAGTCATCAGAGAGAGCGTGGTGGAGATGTAGCAGACGGCTAAAAGGCTTACGTTACAGCCGCAGATCAAAAACACTACAGCAGACACACACAGAAGGCTCTTCGCACTGATCCTGGACCAGAGCAGGCACAGAGAGATCAAAGTCCTGTCCGCTGCAGTAATCCACCTCCAATGCAAGAGCTGCAAAATAAGTGATACAGGAAGTCTGAATCAAGTACTATAAGCCGCGATACCTGACTTTCGAGCCACACAAAAATTATCTAGGTTGTTTGAGTCGGCATCAAACTATTCTCACATGCATGTGTTTTTGGCCTCTTTCATATCTCTTGATCAGCTTTCTCAGACAGAAAAGTGAAAGAGAGAATCACCCTCACTGAGCCAATCCACCCACGGCCAAAAGTGTAAAATAGTTGCTAATAGTATATGCAAGATGTCTTTCAAAAAGTGTGGGTTCAGCACTATTAACTGGAAAGACAATGTGGAAGACTTTTGCGTCTCGACTTTACAAAGATGTCGATTCATCAACAACAGAGATTCAAACAGAACACAGGAACTAACTATTTTCCCCAATACATGATACGTGACAAGCAATATTATTGAATTATTTGTACTATTATTTTTGTTCCCATTGTGATATCAAAATTACTGTTGGTATTTGCATTCTTTCTCACCAGCAATATCGGCAAACATAACATCCAACTCAAATAGATCCAGTCCGTTGGTTTATGAGTGGGAGATGATGGAGCCAGCGTTTGGGGGTGAGAGGTGGGGGATTGTGGGGGTAGATGGGGGACGATGGACCTCTCTCTGGCTCTCAGACAGTCTGGAGCAGAGGCCACAGAGGAAACACAGAAGATCAGAGCACGGAGCCTGGAGCCTGAAGTCACCATGGAAGAGAAATGTAGCAGAGTGTGTACTTTCATATACCACCGGTTTATAATTGCACCCTATGGCACGGCATTAAAGCAGCAGTGGTTGGTGTGTCTCTTGTGTTTGAGTAGAATAGTTTAATCTTCAAATGATGAAAACAAGATGTAACTAGGCCTGGATCTATCCCCTAAAAGAAAAAGAAAAATCATGGATCTAGATGGTGATTCTTCTAAAATCAAATCTTTTGTTTCTTGTCCCATTTCTGAGATTTACTGAAATTACATAAAAATCTGCTTAAACCTTTTGAGTTATGTTTCTAACTACAAATGGACAAACTGCAATTAACACACAACCTCATGGGCAGAGGTATCATACAGACGTATAACAATGAAAAAGATAAAATATTTGCATTGTTATCAATTTTAGGGAAAAATAGTATTGTAAAGACAGCAAAATACATACATACATATATACAACAGTTTTTCTTCTATTGACCTTGATTTGACCAGAGAACTCCCATAACAATTTCAGAATCTCGTGAGAGTAAGATATTTATGGGACAAGAAACCCCGACTAGAACTTTCCTTGGAGACCTTGGAAAGCCTAAAAACAGTGGTGGCTCCTGACCAGAATGAATTAAGTCTAAATTGGCTGATTGAACAAAAAGGGGACAAAAACAAAGTAACACTTGAATAAAAAATGTATCACAAAAAAAGTCTACATTGGCTACGGGGTAAGCAGTGCAAAAAAGGTTGGGGACCACAGCACTAAGGTTTCTTGACGTTATACGCAGCATTAAATCAAAGTTGTTTATTTGTCCCACAAAACTTTCTAAAAGTCTGGAGCTCTTAGCCTCACCATTAGATCGTCCTTAAATGAGCCCAAGAGCAGGACTATAAATAAATACATTCAGAAATTCACAAGATATTACCAGGCAGCTCCCCGGAATGAAACACTCAGCTGTGCTCCCAATGAATTTATAATAATGCATAGTTCAGTGCGCATTAGAGAAGACTCGCGTTTCCTTCGCCCGGATCCGACTGAGACTGAAACAGCGTGTTCAAACACTTGACATGTGGAAGGAAGAAGTACCCAACACCACACTTCATGTTTTAAACAGCGGCAATCGGAGCAGTGAGCAGAGGGCCGATCGTGTCAAGGGGACATCATGCAAATCAATCTTTTCTACCTTTTAAGGCAAGATACACAAGAAACTCTCAAGTAACTCTCAATAAAACAAGGTAGAAAAAAATCAAAAGGACATAGATAATCACAATCACGGACGGCACGGTGGCTGAGTGGATATAGCACTCTCGCTTCTCAGCAAGAAGGTCCTGGGTTCCAATCCTGGTCGGAAAAGGGCCTTTCTGAGTGGAGTTTGCATGTTCTTAGGTTTCCTCCGGGTGCTCGGGTTTCACCCTACCACTAAAAATATGCACAATAAATATGAATGTCAATGAGAGAGTGAATGGATGGTGTTGGGTGGAGGCTTTGATTCGTTGGCGTCTTGCTTCCATCATCACTGTGTGTGGAGTGATTGGAACAATATCTAAACATGGAACATTGTAAAGAGCTTTGGGTGCCCTTGGTCTGTAAAAATGCGCTATATAAATAAACATTAATTACATACTTGCAATAAATTAAAAAGACTGAAGCTACAATCCTTCAGTTGTAGGGACAGCTACACAGAACTGAACCGAAACCTGAACCTGGATTTGAACTGAGTAGAAGTTTGTGTACAAACTGTGCTACACAAGGCAAAGAAGATTTCAGATTTCCATGACACGTGAACGAGCAAATACAAGCTATTCTTCCGTGCCCCATGAGTTTAAGACATTTTTTCTCTCCAAGTGCAGGTTTTTGAGGCTGATTTTTTTTACGGGGAAGACCCAGGACACATCAGAGGAACTATATCTCTCAGTTGGCCTGGGAAACCCTTTGCGATCTCTCTGAGTGTGGATAGGGAAGCCTGGGCATCTCTGCTTAGACTGCTGCCCCCGTGACCCGGCAATGGTTACAGCAGAGAAAAATGGATGTATGGACTTTTAATGTCAATCTTGGCAGTAACTTAAAGCAACTTCTGGCTTTATTCATCTCCATAATTTAACCAAAAAGACGAAACCATTGCAGTTTTGGAAAAGAGCAAATTGAGTTTCTTCTAATGCTTGTAAAATCAGATAGCCCCGTCTTATCCAACATAAATGTGACAATGGGCCAACAGTAGCTCAAGAAATCTTCACTACACTACATAATCTCACAAATTGCCTTAAACCTCTCACTCTCACCAGTGTCTCCTGGGAGTTGTTTGGAAGAAAAAAAGGCGAGCGATTAGAATACAGCCAGAAATACGCTGGGAGAGCCCAGCCCAGCCCCAGGACATCCAACACCAACCCCAATGCAACCATTTTTTTTTTTTTTTTCCAGTTTTCTGATGAAGAGTTTGCATCTTCTCCATCTCCCACGCGGTTGGACAACGCCCGCAGCAACACCCGGCACAAAATAGTGGGAAGGGAAAGCTGTCAGATCAGATTTAGCCTAGTTTCGAGCTCCAGCCATTAATTTCAAAGCAGATGGCTAAAAAAGACGTGAGTGTTAAAGCAATGGGAGAGAGGGAAAAATATGACGGAACGGGAGATTGAGGGAGGGGCGAGTGCTAAGCTGCTGAATAACAGATTGGAGGCAATGAGTACAGTGACCTCAGGAGGCACAAGGCCTTTTTAAAGTTGCCGATTGTGTGCTGTGGCTTTGAAACTGAGAGATTGTTGAATGAAGATTTTGAGAAATGCTGATTTTTTTACACCATGAGACATGTTTAAAAAGGGATACTTGAAACTTGTCTGCAGAAAAACAGTTAATCCTCTTGCATCTCTGCAATCACAAATATTCAACACAATGGATTTCTAAGTGCGTTTCACAACTTTCAGAACACAGCCGTTTCAGCAGAAGGTAAAGTTAACAACAATTAGCATGCTAAAAGTCCACACCTCATTTTTCAAAGATTTACCTGCACTGGGACAAAAATACAACGGAAAACAATCTGCTACAGACTTAATAAAGCCATTAAATAATTCCCATTTATTCCGCTTTATTCATTGCCGAGTCGCGGGGGCAGCAGTCTAAGCATAGATAACCAGACTTCCCCCACTGAATATCCAATAAGAAGTTGACATCAATTTGAACATTGCGCAAATACCAAAAAATGTATATACTGTATACATATATATATATATATATATATATATATATATAGTTCACAAATCTTTTTTGTTTTTGTTTTTAATCCTCTCAAAACTGGGGTAGCATTGGGATCAACACTCTTGCTCCATAGTTTAAAGGAGACGCATATTTGGGTTATGACAAAATGGCCATATAATAGACCTTCTGCAGGACTGTATTATCATCACAGCCTAAATGTCTGACTCAAGGATTTCAATCTCGATGTCTGCAACCAATCTGACACCAAACTACTCTACAGCTTCACGGCCAAACAAAAACCTGTTATTCAACATTATTCACGATTTCCATTTCCCACAACATGACAGCAACAAACCCAGGAATCACTTCACAAAACCCCATTTGTTTGAGTGTATGATTTATAAACAAGATTAGCCACTGTGCAATTTCTCAGAGGAATACCGTGCACCAAACCAAGCCAGACTGAAATCAATAGGTCTCTCCACACTTGGCTCGTACCATTTATCTGCTGTTGTCCGTCTGGCCGTTTACGAGGAAAGAAATCCTGCTGGGAGCAAAGTTAGTCCAGATATTAAATCAAAGATGCATCACAACAGAACATGTGGACGAGTTTTCTCACTGGGGGATTCTCAACACATTCTTCTTGGTGCTTTTGATGCACTGAGAATACAATAGTTGGCAGATGGTTTTACCGATTCTGGAACTATGAAAAACATAGACAAGTTATTCTCTGGGTGGTCATAAAGGTTTAAGTTAAGGGGATGGACTGGGATGGGATCAAGAAATGGTTTAATGTAGGGTCTGGTTACAATGCTGAACTGGTAATCAAAAGCTTTGCAAAATGTGAAATCTCTGAACTTGTCTTTCAAAGTAAACATGGAACTAAATGAGTTATTACAAGTATTACAATGCACCATACACACATTATGAGACCAGGTGGGATCGATAAAACAATATGGTAGAACCTTTTTCCTGGCAAATTATATATTCTGCTGATTGCAATCTGGGAAGTTCCTAAATTATTGAAGACCAGACTGAAGGGGCTCAAGCCTAATAAAGGTCAGTTAGACCAAAACAATGCATTAAAATTTGTGTGTGGGAGTTTTTGTCAATAATGTAAAAAAATGAGTAAATAAATAGCGAGCTGCTATACATTCATATGAAAAAACATGAAAAATACATTGTACATTTTATTTATAACGCAAAAACCTTACAGTGCTAAAAATTCCAGAAACTAACATAATAAAGGATAAAGGACCAAAATAAGAACGTAAAAACATGGCTTTTCTAAGAGGTGGAATCTGAGACACACTTGTAAATCAAATGTCCCTTATAGTTTAAATGAACATTGATTTTGGATACACACGCAAACCTGCATAGAGAATATGTTCTGTGATAGGGTGAGAAACGTAGATACACGTTAAGAGCTTGGATTGGAGCCACTGTTCCACCACATCGAGAGGAGCCAGAAGAGGTGGCTCAGTCAAGTTTTCCAGATACCACCCTCTGGAGGTGTTCGGAGCATGTTCCACCAGTAGAAAGTTCTGAGGAAGAACAAGAACACTGGAGGGACCGTCTCTAAGCTGGCCAAGGAACACATTGAAATGCCTCATTTTTTTGAGCAGGATTACTATTGCAACAACACATCATCAGTAGGGAAAAACTAACCTGTCTCACAACAGTCTAATCCCAGCTCACGTTCCCTATTAGTGGGAGAACACACACACAATGATAGGAAAAGCCGACATCGAAGGATCAAAATGCGACGTCGCTATGAACGCTTGGCCGCCACGCTTGGCCGAATAAGCTGCAGGAAGGCTGTGTTGAAGATGGGAATTTATACTGGTTGATTACTGGTGATTCTGTGACCCAGCCCCAGAAAAAGTGGAAGAAAATGTGTTAAATTATGAACTTCAGCCTCTTGTTGGTCCCCAGGGAGGCTTTGTGTTATTAATTGAAAGACATATTGTGATCGTTTTAACTATGGACAGCTGGTGGGGGTCCTTGAACACCTTGTTGGAAATCACCAATGTAAAGATTCACTGTGGACCAATCAATCGCACAGACAGACCATAAAGTCCTCATAGCCCCACAGCTGCAGCTGCTCTGTACGCCGAGACATGAGGCAATTAGCATCTGTCGTTCATTAGAATATTGGCCCATCGTGACTTCAGCGAATGAGAATGACTATAGCTGTATCAGAGCGCAAACAAGGCCTCCCCTGGGGCGAGGAGTCATTGTGCGATCACAGCCCAAAACTCCCTCAAGCCAAATGTTGTCCGACCTCAGCTGTTCTGGCAACCCGCGCACGCATCCCAAATCAAAAGAATTCCCACAAAAGATTTCCATCATTTTTGTTTGACGTCTGTTATTGTAGTATAACTGTGTTAGCTGTGAGTTGTTGCCAAAACCAAAACAAAAGTGTTAAAAGTTTGAGTACATCTATAAAAAAGGCTTTTATGGGTGGATCAGGCTTTCAATCCTCGGCTGTCAACCACATCCATGTAAACCAATGAACTACAGTGAAATAACAGTTCACATATGGCCAGAGACTGTGTATAGATGGACAATGCTAATCCCCTTGCACATTAAAGCCCAATTGCTGGGTTGCAACCAGTGGGGGCGTTTCCCAGCTCGAAAGTGGCCAAAATGACGTGCGCTGACATGCTGCAATACCACCCCGGCTGGCAGATGGGAGTGGACCCAGAAGTAGAATTAGCCAATGCTAACATATATATAGCATTGGCAGACCTCTGGAAAACGTCTTTACTGGATGGACCAAAAGCTGGCTCTTGGCCCAAAGCTCTGTTCCACATGTGTGTCAATGCTGAGGCGGGTGAATTTTTTTGGACCACTCTAGTTTATTCGGTGTGAATTTTTGAAGTCGCTCGTTCAAATGAATCAGAATCAGAATCATTTTTATTGCCACGTAAGTAACAGGAGGTCACAGACTTGGAAATTGCTTTGGCTCAGTGCAACAGTCAGAAAGAGATAATAAAAATAAGAATAAAAAACACTTCTAAAGAATAAATTTAAATTTAAAATATGAATGGAGTTCTCGCCAGCTGACGCATGCGCAGATACGTTTTTTCAGAAAAAAATTGTGGGCGGGACCACTCGCGGCCCTTTTGGATAGCTCCAGTAGAGCATTTTTTTTGGCCCATTAGTTAGAACGGCGGAGATAGGCGAAACTGTCCGTTAATAAATACGGTCTATGGTTGCAACCAAGTGACCAAAAGGGGGCCTGGCATGGACAGGAAGTATTTTTTATGGAATGGGCGATGCGCGAAAAAGGACACACATGAGCTTTTCGTGGCTTAGTATCACTCTTATTTAGAGTGAAAACTATTTTCAATGCAGCGTATGCCTTGTAGAGTCCAATTTTTTCAACAATGAGGAAGATAAAGCTGCTGTTATAGTGACGACAGTGGAGCTCGTCACTCTTCTATCAACAGAACCACATCTGAGATGATAGTTCTGATCTATAATACAATAAATAGGGCACACATTTTAGTTTTAACAACATTTGAGGCGAGAAATATGACCCTTTATTGTCATTTTAGTGATTTGTTATGCTTCGTTATGTTTAACGAACGCAGCCGTCCTTTGGGCACGGAGCTTGGATACAACTTCAGACATTACCCTGGTCCTCAAAGTCCCAAAAACTGGTCCTCACCGTCCCAGTCGTGGAAATAACGATGAACAATGACTCTTATAATACAATGGCTAGATTATATGTGAGAAGACTGATTGTAAAGCCTACTATTAGCTTTGTTACACATGTACATGTTGGTTTGAGACAACTTTTGGCATTAAAACATGTATTTAACAGTTCTTTCTCCCTGTTCCCTCGGTTACTACAACCGTATACTACACAAAAATACTGCATTGTATCTATGAAAGTCAGCTAAGTAAAGACTGTGGACTGCAAGCTGTGTCTGCGGCCGCAGATGCTACACAGGCTAATGCTAATGCTAACGCATTTCTTCCGTTCCTTATTAAGTTTGTGTAAGCCCTCAGTCGTACAGGGATTAGTCAAAGCAAAGGAAGGTTTCTCACCCATCATCTGTACTTCTTAGCAAGTTTTCCCGACGTTTCGTCCTCAACCTGGGGACTTCTTCAGGGAATGAATTCTCGGACCGCGCGTTGGAGATTTATAACCTATGGGTGTGGTAAGCCACACCCTAACCCTGATACTAACTCGTAAACAATCTCAGGTCTGCTTGATGTAGAAGGGAGCAGGTCTAACGACCCTGCTGAGGCTAATGACCCTAACTCCTTAGCATGTCACAGACCTATTGTCTGCTGGGATGCTCAAGTGGAGTGCAGGTTTCACCCCTCCTAACTCATTAGCATGTCACTGA